GGGACACCCCCAGAGCAGTCACAGGGCACTGTCCCAAATGGGATTCAGTCCCATTACAGTGGAAAGTGTCTCTCCAGACAGGACCTCTTCCTCTGTCAAAGTGCCCTCCTGCAGGAATGGACTCAGCAAATCCACAGTTGAGTTGATGACAGAGAACATGAGCGTCGGAGATGTCCCAGCGAGAGTCACAGAGGGTTCCCCAGGTCCCCTCCACCTCGACCTCTACTCGTCCTGAACATGGCGTGCTGCCATTCACCAGCCTGAATCCTGGATATATGACAAAGGGAAGTGGAGGACTTTAGAGAGGATCACATTGTGCCCTAGCTCATCATCCCAAGAGAGAAATGCCACAGAGATCCAATTTCCTTTGCTTCCAGCATGATTGCAAACAACTCCATCCCTCCTTCACTCACACCATGCTCAGCATTGTCCCTCCCCTGCTCCCCTGTTTCTTAGCACATAGCTTATGGGTGGCATTTCACACCTCCTCCCCGAATGCTCACTTGTACAGGTGACAGCAGCGTAGTTGGCATGACTGCAGGTCAGGTTGCTGAGGGACCTCCTGGGGCAGGAGGAGAGGAAGGGCTCATTCCCCACACACTGCAGCTCTCCATTCCAGAAGGGAGCGACCCCCTCTCCAAAGTGAGCTCCCCCATGGATGGATAGGGCTATTCCACACTGCAGATCCCTACAGATGACATCAGCAGCTTTCACACCAAAGTATGAGGCACAGACTGGTTTCCATTGATCTGCATCTCTGATCTCCAAACGTCCTGAGCAGGGGCTGTCTCCTCCAACCAGCCGAACAAATCCTGGGGGAAGAAAAGGTAAAAATAAAAACAGAACACTCAATGACAAGGAGTTGCCACAGGCTTCTGAAATTACATACCATGGCAGCCACATCCAAAGGGTCCCATTAATGTTAAACAGAAGTAGGTTTTGATGGCAAAAACCCTTCAAGGCCCCCTGCAGCTCCTCTGACATCCACACAGTGCTCTGGAGCTTCTCTGGATCACAGACCCATAGCATAGACCAGTGCCCTWCAGGCACTGCTCAGGGAAATGCTGCTGCCCCAGAGGCTGCCCCAGTGCCCGGCACATATCTCCAGCACCTCAGCCCTAGCAGTTGTTGGATGCTGTTCAGCCCTGCAGAGCTCAGAGCCAGACTGGAGAACTGCCTCACACAGCCCCAAATGCTCCCTGTTCCCAGGGTGTTCTGCARTGTCAGCAGTGCCAGTGACACGGACCCAGCAGGACAAGCCTGAGCCTGTGGTGATGTGGGAGGGAGCAGCCAGTGGCCCCACAGACACCAACCCAGARCTCATGGGGGACTGGTCTTTGCAGGGTGGCCATGGACAAAGGGTGCCCAGCTCATTGCCCTGCTTCCCTGCGCCAGGTCCTGCTCTTGTCCGCTCTGAAAAGCCCCTTTGGGTCAGTCAAGGCACTCCTGTCTGTGAGGCGAATGACTGCAGGAGCCTCGGCCATCTGGTACCATTTCCCCAGCCAAGGGGGTGCCAAGTAAGGCATCCTGAGGTCTGGGGCACAGGGACACCCAGCACAGACTTGAATGTCCTGGCAGAATGTGAGGAGATTGAAGGAGACCAAGAGACCCTGTAGGGCAGAGTAAGGGATTCATCTCCCAGCCTGGGGCACCACCTGAGGGTGGACTGAGCCCCCAGAACCCTGGTGGGGTCTGTGCACCCCATGGTGGGTTCACATGGCCTTTCCCTAGGGACAGCAGTCGCAACAGCTGCAGCTGGGCAGTGAAAGCAGCCATGCCAGGGCCTGATCTAGTACTCGGCCGTGCTCCCTCAGGGCACAGCACCATTAGTCCCCTGATCCCAGGCCCAACCGCAAAGTGAGGAACTGGATGACTCCTTACCTGAACAAACCACTCCAGCGTCCCAAGCATGAGTGCAGTAACTTCTAGTCTGATTATCATTTCTGCACTTAGACAAGGCAATCTCGGTGCCTTGAGAGCCTACAGAGTACAGCCAAATGGGGCCAGATCCTGGCCTGAAATATCCAGACTTAGGGGCTTGAAGAGCAGATCCACAGCCCAGCTGCTTACAAACTACAGCAGCATCTTTCATGTCCCAGGAAATATCACACACAGTCCCCCATTGGCCCTGGTGTTCCACTTCCACTCTCCCAGCACAGCGGTTGTCTCCATCCTCCAGCCTCACCTTTGCAGCACCTTCAAACACAGACAGGGGGCCAGTTAGGAGGGCACCAAACCCCAGCACTGCGACTGTGTAGGGTCCTAGGGCTGAGTCTCAGGCCCTGGGGTGTGAGCCCTCTCCCCTCTGCATTGTTGGGGTGCCCAGGACCCAGTTTGCCTGCCTCCACACATCATGGCTGGAGTGCACCTATCTCCCAAAAACCCACTCACCATAGAGCATCAGGGCTCTATAAATCCCCAGGGAACACCAAGAGGATCCCCATCTTCTGTCCCAACCCATCCTTCCTTCCTGTTGGGAAGACCTGAGCTCCTGTGTATGGCCAGGGCCCTTGCAAAAGACACCTCTCTGCTGGAGTGTGAGCATGAGCACCCTGATCACCTTTTCTCAGCCGGGCAGAAACTGCCTGTCCTTGTGCCAGGCAACCCTGACCCTGGGGCAGTGAACAGCACAGAAACTCTCCTGGGAATCCTAGGCTTGGCTGCACCCTGAGCACTGCAGTCACCAGCTAACTCACCATCAGCTCAAGTCCACAGTGCTGGGCGGACAGGGTATCCCTAAAGGATGGCAAGGATGAGGTGTCTACAAGCACGCCCATGCACCAACTGCCAGAAGCACAGGAGCTGTGAAAGCTCAAATACCCTTCTCTCACTCAAAGGGGCACAGGATCTTGACTTGAGCACTTCTGACCCTTGTCTCACTACTCTGTGGGAACATCCAGCATTTCCGGAGGGATCCCCATAACCCCACTGCTGCCTATTGGCCCTACACCCATGGGCTAGGGAACAGGCACTTACCCCAGCACAGCTGCACCCAGACGAGCAGCCACAGCACCCAAGACATGTGAAGTCCTTCTGCCTCCATCCGCAACCTGTCCTGACAGCACTGCCCTGCTGCACCCTGTCCCTGCCACAAATCCTGGAGCCTTGCACAGGACAACAAACATGGGAAGTCAATATATATCTGCAGGTGCTGGCCCAGCCCCTGGATGAGCCAATCGAAGCAGCAGGCACCTTTTTAGACGTTATCGGGGGTTATCTCCCTGTCACAACCCAGCCCTCCAATGAACTTCTCGAGCGCCGTTCATGACCATATATGTGGCACGGCTCCACTGCGGATGTCATGGTCACCGCTCTGGGGCGTCATCACGGGGCCCATCCCAGCAGGACAGGGCAGATCATGGAGGGAAAAGGGTCTGTCATACTTTGTATTCAGCTTGGGAAATTTGGGGATCTCGCATGCAGTGGTTGCTCAAGTGCCCAAGATGCAAGTGTCCAGCTTTGCCCACATCATGGGAATCATGGAGCTGGGATTGTTCCTGGGATAGGTTGTGTCAGAATGGGAAGGAAACAGGAACAGCCCCTGATCCTGCTACAGCTCTGCTGTACTGGAAGCAGCAGCTGTGAAAGGTCTCTTTGCCATGGYCAGAGATGCATCCTGTGAGTGCGGTCTCGTCCATCCCTTCTCGGACAGCCGGGCGCTGGTGTCTTGGTCAGGAGCAGGGAGCTGGAACATTTCACTCCTCTGAGAGCAGACAGGGCAGCCCAGGCATTCAGAGCCCCCCAGCTCTCAGGCTGTTCACCCAGAGCCCGTTATTCCCTTGCAGGGGCTGATCGGCAGATCAAAGCCTCGCCTGCAGGTGCACAAACCACAGYCCACGTGACCTCGGCAGCCGGCGCYGCGCGCTCCCTGCAGCAGCGRCCGAACCAGGAAGACGGTGGTTTCTCTGTGGGCTTGGTTCCCCAAGCAGTGTCACTGCGTGCAGCCACTGGGGCAGCTCCAGGAGCTGCTCCCAGGAATGGGGCTGCAGGGGCTGCTCCTGCTGCCTTTGCACTCGTGGCTGCTGGGTGCAGGTCCTAGAATCACAGTGTGGTTTCTCATCAGTGATGCTGCATCTCACCCTGCCTGCTGCTGCTGCAGCACACCTTCATACATYTATGTRCCMTTAGGCTTTCACGTATGGTTTATGTATATTACATTTTTAACAGAATGAGTGCTTTTTTTTATTGAGAAATGGACATTTTGTTAGATGCTTCAGATATTATTGTGCCTTTCTTTTCTTTCTTCCATATTMTAAAGATTATAAATATTATATACTATTTATAGGTTATATATCTATAAATAATATGCAATATTAATTAATTATAGTATGCAATAATATAACATCATAGTATATTTTATAATAAGTGATTATAAATAATTGTGTGATATAAAATATAATAAAAATTGTTATAATTGTATACATATTATAATATGTATTATGTATTATAATCTATAAACATTATTTTCCATTATTTTAATCTCATGTTCGTGGATGATATGCTCTCTGGAGTACACTGCTTTTAACTCCTTCACCTTCCCGTTGAGCAGGCCCATGCCTTAGGGATTAATTGTGAGCTCACTGCTGCTTGACTGCCTGATGGGCCAGCAGCATCCCTATCCAGGATATGGATGGGATATACTTTTGAGGTCATTCCTGCTGCAGCAGGTAACAGGCCAGCAGCAGGCGCATGACTTGGATGCCATGTCTCATGTCAGGGCTCCCTCAGTACCTCACAGGGCAGCAGCAGGCAAATCGCTTGGATGTTGTGAGCTCACTTCCCCCAGAGCCCGTGATAGGTCAGCAGCAGCCGCATAACTTCAATGCAGCTTGAATGCCTGGTAGGCCAGCAGCAGCCACACGTCTTGAATGTTGATTGTGAGRCCACAGTCCTGCTGTGAGGACTCAGCACCTGATAGGCCAGCAGAATGCACATGAAACAACACAGCCAGGCACTAACAGTCTTGAAGGTTTCTGCAGTGCATTGACAATAACTTTTTGAAACRGGTTGTGAAGGAGCCAAAGAGGAGAGGTGGGCTACTGGACCTTGTACTCACAAATAGAGAGGGACTTGTTAGAGATGTAAAGCTAGAGGGTAGCCTTGGCTGCTGCGATCATGAGTTGGTGGTGTTCACAATGCAAAGAGGAGGAAGCAGGTCTGTGAGTGGCCATCTAACCATRGACTTCAGGAGGGCTGAATTTGGCCTCTTCRGGGACCTCCTTGGAAGAATCCCATGGACTGGGTCTCTGGAAGGAAGAGGAGCCCAAGAGAACTGGTTGGTTTTCAAGCAACACTTCCTCCATGCTCAGCAACAATGCATCCCTATGAGTCAGGCAGGGTGGGCAGGAGGCCTGCATGGATGAGCACAGAGTTCCTGGCAAAACTCAAGCAGAAGAAAGCAGTATACAGAAYGTGGAAGAAAGGACAGGCCCCTTGGGAGAAATACAGGAACACTGTCAGGGAATGCAGGGATCCTACAAGGAAAGCTAAAGGTACACTTGGAACWAAATCTGRCAAGGGATGTTAAAAAGAAGAGCTTGAAAYATATCAATGGGAAAAGGAAGATTAGGGAGAACGTGGGTTCGCTGGTGAACGGGATAGGTGCCCTGGTTATGAAAAATACAGAAAAGGCCGAGTTGCTGAATGCCTTCTTTGCTTCAGTGTTTACCAAGGGCAGCCCTATGGAATCCCAGACACTAGAGACAGAAGAAGAAGCCTGGAGAGAGGAAGACTTGCCCCAAGTAGAGGAAGATTGGGTCAGAGAGTGCTTAGGGCAACTTGAWTCSCACAAATCCATGAGCCATGATGGGATGCACCCCAGAGTGCTGAGTGAGGTAGCAGATATTATAGCTAAGCCACTCGCCGTCATCTTTGAAAGGTCCTGGAGAATGGGGGAGGTGTCTGAGAACTGGAAGAAAGCCAATGTGACRTCASTCTTCAAAAACRACAAGAAGGAGGAGCCAGGCAACGACAGGCTGGTGAGCCTAACCTCCATCCCTGGAAAAGTGGTGGAACAGCTCATCCTGGCTGTTGTCTCCAAGTGTATGGAGGACAAGAAGGTGCTCAGGAGTAGCCAGCATGGGTTCACCAAAGGGACATCATGCTTGACTAACCTGACAGCCTTCTATGATGGAATGACTAGCCGGATAGAAGAAGGGAGAGCAGTGGATGCCATCTATCTGGACTTCAGCAAGGCTTTTGACACCATCCCTCACAGCATCCTCCTGGACAAGCTCCRRAGGTGTGGGATAGGTGAGTKGACAGTGAGGTGGATTGAGAACTGGCTGCATGRCAKAGCTCAGAGGGTGGTCATAAGTGGCGCTGAGTCCAGTTGGAGGCCTTTAKTTAGACCCCAAAGGTCAGTCCTTGGTCCACTCCTGTTCAACTTTTTCATCAATGACCTGGATGAAGGGATGGAGTGCTCCCTCAGCAAGTTTGCTGATGACACCAAACTGGGAARAGTAGCTGATAGCCCTGAGGGCTGTGCTGCCATCCAGAGAGACCTGGACAGACTGGACAACTGGACAGTGAGAAAGCTCATGAAGTTCAACAAGGGCAAGTGCAGAGTCCTGCACTTGGGGAGGAATAACCCCAGACACCAGTACAGATTAGGGGTTGACCTGCTGGAGAGCAACCCCGCAGAGAGGGACCTGGGTGTCATGTCAGATGACAAGCTGACCATGAGGCAGCAGTGTGCCTTGGTGGCCAAGAAGACCCATGGGATTCTGSTTTGCATTAAGAAGAGCCTCTCCAGCAGGTCAYGTGAGGTGATCGTTCCCCTCTACACAGCCCTGGTGAGGCCACATCTGGAGTACTGTGTGCAGTTCCGGGCTCCCCAGTACAAGAGGGATGTGGAGCTGCTGGAGAGAGTCCAGCGCAGGGCTACAAAGATGATCAGGGGCCTGGAACATCTGCCCTATGAGCAAAGGCTGAGAGAGCTGGGCCTGTTCAGCCTGGAGAAGAGAAGGTTGAGGGGGGACCTGGTCAGTGTCTATAAATACCTCAAGGGAGGCAGTGAGGAGGATGGGGAYRGCCTCTTTTCAGTGGTGGCTGCTGGTAGAACTAGAGGAAACAGTCACAAATCAAAGCACCARAAGTTCCTCAGGAACTTAAGGAAAGAATTCTTAACATTAAAGGTGAYAGAACTGAGTCTCCTTCTCTAGAGATCTTCAAAACCCAATTGGACACAGCCCTGTGCCACATGCTCTAGGTGACTCTTCATGTGTGAGGCTTTGGGCTGCATGATCTCTACAGGTGCCTTCCAACCTTAAGGATTCTATGATTCTATGGGATGGAAGGTGACT